CACACACACACACACACACACACACACACACACACACGCACGCACACACACACACACACACACACACCGAAAATAGGAATCGCGCACAGTGCGCACCTTGCAGTGGTAGCGCGTCCCCATGCGCTGCGCGCACGGCGCACCTCGTGCGCGTGCGCGCGCACATGCGCGCGCGGTGTCACCGCGCGCATGCCGCACGGCGCAGCGCACCGCACTAATGCGCCGCAAGTATGAAAGATACACCACCATTTTCTGTCTTCAATGCATTGGAATGTTCGAATAGAAGTACATAGCTACGGGCCTCACTCGACCACTGACCAAACGAGGAAAATGAGAATGAATCTTCGGCTAACACAGAAAGCTACACCGCCTGGCATTGGCGAACACCCAATTGTCCCTGGTCGGCGATGTGTTTTTCCCTTTTTTTTGGCAGCCGTGTCCGTGTTCTTTTGTTTTCTTTGTGTGGAAGCATGTCTGTTAGCACTGTTCATATGCACACAGTATGATCTGCCCCACATGGTGCCGCCGGAACTAGTGGTACCACCAAGCCCTCGTGACATCGCGCAGGCCATATGATACCGCGGACCCCACATAGTACCATAGCTGTGCCAAGGGCAGGGTCGGCACTGGGCCGCAGCACTGCCGCAGCAGCCCCCACTTAATGTTATTAATTAATAATAAGATGCTGCTGCAGTGGATGAAGGAGAGACGTGGTACCGTGGTTGCGAGATGAAGGAGTGACGTTGGTTCTTGCTTGTGTTTATCTTCTTCTTCAGCGTCTTCCATTCTCATTTCCTCTCCCTCCTTTGTCTATTTCTTTCTCCTATCTCTTTCATTTCAGTTGGAATTGGACGGCATTGTCTTAGCGTTTTGCACCGTGACTCTGTGAGATACCCAGGATCGTAACAATTTCAGTTTTGAACTCAGTTCTATTTCTCACCAGCTCATGGGTGTACCATTCTGCCACATGGGCTGGGCAATTGAGGGGGCATCTGTACATAGTACATAATTCTTCTTCTTAGACGCAAGATACCCCCCAATACCCCCTATACCACCCCTATACCTCCCTACATTCCCCTATACACCCCCCCCCCTCCCCAAAAGTTTCTCAGCGGATTTGGGCTGTACTCAGCAAGTTCAGTACAGCTTCTAACTCAGATCTGAAAAAAAATCAGTGGATGGCTGTTTTCTGCCTGGTCGGCAGACCGCCGACCGGTCGGCCCTACTGGTCCTCTGCAAAACCGTCAGCGGTAGGCAGGTATGCAATCATGGAAGAATGTACTCTCTTTGTATCAATCGCTGGAAACCGGGTTCGGCATCAGTTACAAAGGAAACACACTCAGCACTTCCTTCCGTTATGGCCAAAAAGAATCACGACACAGCGGCAATGATCACTAAGTACAGTTTCTTCAACTCTCTTGAGTTTGCGCGAGAGAGATCTCTCAAGTGACCAAGTCACTGAACATAATTGGGTTGAGAGCTAGGCTACCAGAGTGGCCCGGGACCACTTGCACAGCCAGGCCTATATAGCGTCAAACAGAGCTGCCCGGTAAACCACAGGCAGAGAGGAAGAAGAGGACAACAAACGAGGAGCTGTGACAAACTGTTTATATATACTAGCTAAGTGCCCGCGGTGCGGGCGGTGCGGGCTACCCCCGCAGAAATAACAAATGCAGTGGGCAACCTCACACTGCATTTCGGATGGCTCGCCTCCAAGATGTTCGTCCACAGAAACAACGACAGTCTACCGGGAGGCAAAAAACGACAGCCGCGCGAGAAATGAAAAAAGGAGGAAGAGAAATAAAAAAAGGCCGCCCACATATCGGATGGATCGCCTCCAAGATGTTTGTCCGCATCAACGACAGCCGTGTGTCCCGCTCCCAGGGCGTGCACTCTCATTTAATGGCGCGCCGTGAACATTTTGGTACGCGCACCCCTCTGCACACTCCCCCACCCTCGATCGCCTTCATCCGCCGCCCCTCACCAAAACTTCGACCTGAGCCCGTTGCACAGCGCGTCATGAACCTCCCCCCCCCGCGGCCAATGCTACTTAATGGATAGGATAACATTATATATAAAATAAAATAAAATAAAAAGCTTTTAGCAAAACTTGTTCAGTATATTTTTCTGCATAACATTTTTTTTTTTCCGCTGGGATCTTCCCTGGTCCTTCCAAGACTGGGCCGCCCGGGAAAACAGGGTGACCCAGGAATCCTAGCTGGTAGCCCAGGCGGAGAGTCAACTCACTTGCAGTTGGCATAATGCATTCGCAGTGTCTTCTCGCCCTTCAGAACCCGCACCTGATGCGCCATAATTCCCGGTTTGTGTAGAGTTGGCTGCACTTACAAAACATACGGAAAACATGGATGAACGTGCATGTCATAAAAGCTATCCCAAACCTATAAAGAGCAAGATCCATTTAAAAAAAAAAAAAAAAAAAAAAAAAAAAAGAGCCTGTTTGTTTGGTCCGTGTCTGGAAAATTGTTGTTTCCTCGTTGTTTCTTCATTTTCTATTTATTCTTCTCCATGAAAATCAGGCATGCAGTGGGCCTCTCCCAATTCACATACGTTTCAAGTTTCAACATGATCAACAAGCAATTTTAAAAAAAAGTTATTAAACCACCACTACCTCTCCCAGCCAAACTTCTGCGAGAAATTTGTCTACCACCACATTCTTCCGGGGCTTGACCTCCCAGACCTTTTTGGCTGCAAAAAAAAAAAAAAAAGAACAGGGTTTTGTAGCACAATCCAGGTGAATAGCAGGAACTGCGTCTCTCTCCGGATGGCTCGCAACTGAGCTAGAAGCTGGGCACGTTGTGCGTTTGTTTTCTGCCTTGAGCATACTGAAGAAATAGCTGTCACTACCAAAATGGGATCGGTTCAGCGCAATTGTGTCCGCTCGTTCTGCGCAATTGTGACTTGCCTCTCAACAGAACATTGAGAACGCGAATCTCCAGCCGCAGAGTCTTTTCTTTCTCTTCCAACACCAAGTTCAGCGTAGACTCCAAATTGATTCGTGACTTCAATGTTTCCATCCTTCTTGGCCTGGTGTATGCTGGCGGTCTGCTTGGTGATGACGTCACGTACACTGGTCTTCAACTTCGATGTGATCTAGTTGCATGAACGTAGATAGGCGTAGATAGGCTGAGTAGTGTAGGCTGGGCGCTGGGCACCCAATCAGTAGTAGAGCGACATTGGATTTCTATTGCTCTTATTTGGATGGTATCTGGGTGCATTGAGCTCTTTGCTTGGTACATGACTATCTGGGCTACTTCGTGATTTTGCAATTTCAATTTCTGTCTATCGCTCTCGCTCATATTCCTTGCATTAGCATGACCCCAGGTCGAGGTAAGTGGCTGCGATCATTAATAATTTTACTGCCAAGGACTCAACATTCTCGCGTCCTTTCGCCGCTGGATCCTTTGCCTTTAGCAACTCCGCAAGCATTTCTGTCGCATCCACTAGAACATTCCGTGCTTCCGTGATCACCTCTGGCATCTCAGACCTGCTGCGGCAAAAAATAATCTCGGCTTAAATATACTTCCGTGCTTCCGACGACCATCCGACGATCCTTTTTGGACTTCTTTTTTCCCCTCTCTGAGTAACGCTCTCCGTGTCAAACGCCAAACCTCCTGATGATGTGCGCCTTTTAACAACTGCAAAGGATGCAGCTAATAAGTTGCTGTGCCCTGGACTGGATTGATTCACGCCACATGGCCATCGCCGGATGGTCATCGGGATCGGGGCGTGCGACGTCGTGGGAGACACGCTGGATAAAGCAGCGAGCGACGAGGACGCCGTCCACTCCACCCCCCCCCACCCCACCCTCTCAAAAAAGGAAAACTCGCCCAAAATGACTAGTTTTGCTACACTTGTACTCATGCTACCTTTCAAGTATTTTGTTGCATTACAAAGAGCATCGAAAGTATCAGAAAGGCATAAAATTCCATAAATTTTATTAAATTAAATTTAAGTTGACGCTTTTAATCCTGTTTGCATACTCACCCCAGGCTGTACTGTTATTATAAAGTGTACCAGCATACATTGTACAAAACATTGAATCGCTATGCAACGTATCCAGCAATAGTCAGACATTCTCACTTCCAAGTTCTCAACAATCCCCCCCTCCCTCCCCCCAACCCCGGTTCTCCCCCAATCATGTCACACTAAAGGTTCCATCGCCTTCACCCCGATAAAACTCACCATCTCACACAAAGGCGGGACTGACTCGTCAATGCTTATGTTATACTGATGATACTCGGTCGAGAAAAGTCCATTCACAATTTGCAAGAGTCTGGTTTCTTGCCAGGCGCGTAAGAGAACCATCAAAGAGAGGAGAAGGGAACAGCTTGAAGATAAGCCTCTAGGATGCATCCAGCTAAAAAAGTCAAAGTCAAAGTCAAAGTCAAAGTCAAAGTCAGTTTCCAGTCTCACCTGCCGATTAACGAGTACAATATCACCATCCATCAGATGTCTGTGCACAGTTTTGGATGTCGTGGGTCTGTGCGACTCTGAAATTCCGCCACCTGCAAGAACCCCTGGCCTCGATAACAACGCCTTTGCAATTGCTATGCGGCGATGCTTGGGCATATTCGCCAAATTCAACACGCGACCATTCTCATCCTCTATGTGAGTCGCTGCACCCAACAACCAGTCTCAATATCAGCCAGGGCAAGGAACACAAGCTGTTCTTTCGTTCCTTTTTTTGGTCCAATGACTGTCACTACAGGACCAGGTGCATTGTCCCAGCAGTGCCTCACCATCATTACACAAGGGTTCAAACCCCAGCCAACTGTGACCTCCTAACACTGCAGACCACAACCAATCAACCAATCTCACTATCAGTCAAAGACAAGCAACAAAAGTTTTCTTTTGCCTCCAGTGACTGTGACTCGATTGAGGCCAGGTACGCTCTCCCAGCAGTGATCCATCATCATCACACAAAAGTACGAGCCACAATCAAGTAAGTACGATGAACTGAGAAGACACAAGAACACAGTAAAGAAAGACAAACAAAGGGAGGAGAGTACCCGGGGAATACCACTAATAGAGTAACGACTCCTAACGACTACTAACGAGCGTTGCAAGCTCTATTTTGACTCCAATCACAAGGCCCCTCAGGATCAGGAACGTCTTTTTTTCATTCCAGAAGCGCAAAACAACACCATCATCACATAAAGGTATGAACCACAGTAAAGTGGGAACTGAGAAGAATACGTTGGGAATGTTACTGCTAAGATTCGTGAGACTTGCAAATCCAACTACAAACATGTGTCTCTATCACTCACCCACACCAGATGGAAAACTCTACAGACTGTCGGTTCACACCCCATCACAAGCCAGCAAAACATCCACGAAACAAAGAAAGGTCTGTCACAGCCAAAAAATACACTCCAGACACGCCGCTGGNACACTCCAGACACGCCGCTGGCACTAGAGGCACAGCATGGCCGCCTAGTAACGGCCCCTATATATATATATATATATATCGTCACAAACAGAACTGCCCGGTAAACCGTAGGCAGAGAGAGAGAAGAGGACAACAAACGAGGGGCTGTGACAAACTGTTTCGTCGGAGTTTCACCGACTCATCAGGAGGCTATATATCTGCATAGCACGGCGAATGCGTCCGCGCCCCTTCACGTTCGCACCAACGTGTTCGCGTGTTCGCGCGAACAGCTTGCGAACATGTTCGGGCGAACTTCTTTTTTTTTGTAAAAAAAAAAATAAAAATAAAATCCGTTTTTGATTTTTAACTCATGATTGGCTACGACTTTGAACATGACTCCAAGGCAAAAGTTGCTTGTATTGTTATTTTACGTAACATATATTTTTTCAGATTTTTATGCGAACTTTTTTTTTTTTTTTTTTTTATGTTCGCCTTCGGAGGGTTTTGGGCGCTTGTTCGGTTCGGGCAAACATGTTCGCTTTAGCCTCCAAACGCGAACACGGTGCTACGTAGATATATATCTATATAATATTATATATATCGTCAAATAGAACTGCCCGGTAAACCGTAGGCAGAGAGGGAGAAGAGGACAACAAACGAGGGGCTGTGACAAACTGTTTCGTCGGAGTTTCACCGACTCATCAGGAGGCTGAACCCATATATATATCGTCAAATAGAACTGTCCGGTAAACCGTAGGCAGAGAGGGAGAAGAGGACAACAAACGAGGGGCTGTGACAAACTGTTTCGTCGGAGTTTCACCGACTCATCAGGAGGCTATATATAATACTATGTATATATGCTCACGCTGCACTGTGTGGGCATAACAGAGGCTTCTCCTCTTGCCCCTCACCACCATACTTATTACTGCTGAGTGTTGTACCACCAAGTCACCAACCATCAGGGATCGAACAGACATCCCCAACAGATTGTGTTGTGTTGCATTCCTCAAAACCCGTGTGCCGCAGCCTGATCCTTGGAGAAACAAGCAGTTGCAAAACGAGCTTCTCCAGCGTGCACCCGTGTAGCAGTTGCCACAGCCTAATCCTTGGAGAGGCAAGCAGTGGTGAAATGAGCTTCTCCATCCCAGCACCGTGGCAGTCACCGGAATGATAGCTACACAAACAGCATCCTCTCTCTAGGATGGTGAGTGGCGGGCGTTGGAAGGACACCGAGCGATCCTCACGTGCACACAAAACACCCGGCGAAGGGTCCCTGCTTGGAGAAGGGGATGGAGTCAATTCTGATGATGATGGGTGAGAGAATAGAGATCGTGGAGATTTGCAGATGGACGTTGAGAAGCTAGAGTTGGCGGAGAACAAGGAGGGGAATGCTCCATGCGGGAGAGCTTGTTCAGTCCATGATTGGCGGAGGATGGAGATGGTGGGTGGCGGTGGGCAATGGATGGCAGGTGACCAAGAAGAGATAGATGATCCATGATGAGGGGAGGAGAGGTTGCCGTATCACGAGTGACAGTTATTTACTGAGGTCGGAGTCCCCATCTTGGCCAAGTTTTGTGAGGTTGTTGGGATTGGGAACACAGAATAAGTGACTGTGGGTAGACGGCAAGCCAGCTTACACTGCATTCGTGAACAGCTGAAAAAGTGTCAGAATTAGAGTAAGTTCAAGGCTTCAAGCATTCAAAAAAAAGTTTGGAAAAAAAAGGGAAAAAGCAAAARAAAAAAAAAAAGAAAAAAAAAAAAGGTCAGTCTGTCTTTCGGGACATCCGTTAAAATTGGAACGATAGAGAGAAGATTAGCATGGGCCCTCTTTCGATGGCGGTTCTTTGGCGTTGCCAAAGTAACCGCGGGGTTTGCGGACGTGTTCGGCGGATCACAGGGTTGGTGTAATGATAAGTGGTTATCGTTTGCTGTACACTTCTTGTCAACTTGCGTGGTGTGAACGTGTGATGATTCGCTCATTGCCATGATTGTTCCACTTTTGTACTTTCTCCATAACCTTATCCGCAAAAGGGTCTGGCCAAGAAAAAGGTTTATCATGAACTCTCTCCTCGACTGGAAACAGTGATGTGGTCCCGCGCACACTTTTGTCATCCAAGTGTCTCTTTGCTTCCCCTCTACAGACATATACAAAAGGGATGGGAAATCATGGAAGAAATATGTTATTATTTGAATGCATTTCTCCATTATTCTTGATGCACACCCCCGTGTGACGCGCTGTGTGATGTGCTCCGACTCACCACAATATCAATCAAAGAAAAAGAAAAAAGAAAAAACAAAGGTCAACATCATCAACCTGAGCTCAATCTAATGATTCTAATCCCCTCACCTACAAACATGGTAACCCCGGACCCGGACACCAGACACTTCCGGACTGTCTTCCGGACCAGTGTCTGGACCGGTCCGGACTGTCCGGCGATCCGGACATCACCAGACACCAGACAGTCCGGACCGGTCCCCGGGGTGCAAAAATGTCCGGACCCAAGGGGAAAAAAAAAAACGGGCCGGGGGGAGGGGGAGGGCACGGGGGCTGGGTGGGGGTGTTGGCAGGCAGGCACCTGCTTTGCAGTCTGTAGTTCAGGCAGCAAAGCACGTGTCTTGCAGCAAATCAACTGGCACATTTAACTAGCAGACATGCAGATTTGCAAACAGTGCAAAGCACGCACAAGACTAAAGAAATAGAGAATTTGTTTTTGAAAAAAGTATGATTAACTTTGAACTTTGAACTTTGGATTTCGTAATTTAAGTTCATAACTTCATATATAACTTAAAAGTTTGAACTTTGCAGTTCAATTCAAAACGTCAGAGTCTTCAGACTGGCCGCACTGTCAGTGCTCTCTCTCTCTCTCTCTCTCTCTCTCTCTCTCTCTCTCTCTCTCTCTCTCTCTCTCTCTCTCTCTCTCTCTC